AACTAGCAGATATGAAAAGGGAGGCCACAGAAAGTACAAAGGAAGCATATGCAGCTGAATGGGGTATAGGGAAGGGCTAGGCGGCACCAAGTGATGGCTGTAGCACAGCGTAGGTTTGGGCATGATTGAGAGCTTCCTGCAACACGGGCCAATTACCCTCGCGATTATTTACCGAGGGCCTGGCAGGTGTATGAGGGCAGTGGAGAGGTTGGGGGAAGTGCGAGGGATGGGAATTCATTTTAGTGTTGCCGTGTTTTAAGGGGAAGTGATTTTGCTTTCCAAGAAGGGGTTTGTGTGTGGGTGGTAGTGAGTGGGAATGAGTTTTTCTCTTTCTTTTCCTTTCTTTTATCTTTCTCTGTTTTAAACATTTTTCATTTGGAGTGTCTATTCAGAGTTATCAGAATCTCAATGTTTATATGATATCATTGCTATTTTAGCAGAAAGTTTGAGAGAAGGATGTAGGGTTAATTGCTAGTGTTCTCATGGTAGTTTTAAAAAGTCCTATTACATACTAGATGCAGTTGGAAGTACTGTAATATATGTTGAAAGTATGCAGTTTATTTTCACCATATTCTGTAAGGCATTCGAAGGAACAAGAGATGAGGAAGACCTCTGAAGAACTGTGTCATTACTCTCCCATTGTTATGATTTCTTTTATTAACTAAAAAATAAACATTGGCCATTCTGCATATGTGGAGTCCTAATTCATCTTCTCTCTTCTCCAGGGCATTCAGCTGCAACAGACACTTGGGGCAGGGGACCTGAGTAACATCGACCATGCGGCAGAGGTGCGAGAGGTCCTATCTATGGGCATAGCTGCTCACCATGCACAGAGTCGTATTAATCCCAAACTAGCAAAGGTGAGGATATGTTAAGTTAATTTGTTTTCTATTGATATTGATTATGTTCTGTACGAATGACAGAAGTTCTCACACTCATTCTCTCTCACTCTCTATTTTGCATACATACTCACTCACACATATGTTCTTACTCAACACTCATATTCATATTCACTTGCTCATACTTCTGCTCCTAGTCACACACTAACACTCACACTTACATTCACACTCACTCTCTCTCTCTCTCTCTCTCTCTCTCTCTCTCTCTCTCTCTCTCTCTCTCTCTCTCTCTCTCTCTCTCTCTCTCTCTCTCTCTCTCTCTCTCTCTCTCTCTCTCTCTCTCTCTCTCTCTCTCTCTCTCTCTCTCTCTCTCTCTCTCTCTCTCTCTCTCTCTCTCTCTCTCTCTCTCTCTTCTTCTCTCTCTCTCATCTCTCTCTCTCTCTCTCTCATCCTCTCTCTCTCTCTCTCTCTCTCTCTCTCTCTCTCTCTCTCATCCTCTCTCTCTCTCTTCTCTCTCTTCTCTCTCTCTCTCTCTCTCTCTCTCTCTCTCTCTCTCTCTCTCTCTCTCTCTCTCTCTCTCTCTCTCTCTCTCTCTCTTCTCTCTCTCTCTCTCTCTCTCTCTCTCTCTCTCTCTCTCTCTCTCTCTCTCTCTCTCTCTCTCTCTCTCTCTCTCTCTCTCTCTCTCTCTCTCTCTCTCTCTCTCGCTCTCTCTCTCTTCTCTCTCTCTCTCTCTCTCTCTCTCTCTCTCCTCTCTCTCTCTCTCTCTCTCTCTCTCTCTCTCTCTCTCTCTCTCTCTCTCTCTCTCTCTCACTCTCCTCTCTCTCTCTCTCTCTCTCTCTCTCTCTCTCTCTCTCTCTCTCTCTCTCCTCCTCTCTCTCTCTCTCTCTCTCTCTCTCTCTCTCTCTCCCCCCCACAGGCTGCTTTCGTTGTCACCATACTGTGAGCATGACAGAGCCATTAGCCATTAAGCACTCTCTCTCTCTCTCTCTCTCTCTCTCTCTCTCTCTCTTCTCTCTCTCTCTCTCTCTCTCTCTCTCTCTCTCTCTCTCTCTCTCTCTCTCTTCTCTCTCACTCTCACTCTCACTCTCACTCTCTTCACTCTCACTCTCACTCTCACTCTTTCTCTCTCTCTCTCTCTCTCTCTCTCTCTCTCTTCTCTCTCTCTCTCTCTCTCTCTCTCTCTCTCTCTCTCTCTCTCTCTCTCTCTCTCTCTCTCTCTCTTCATCTCACTCGCTCACTCACTCACTCACTCACTTACATGCACACCAATACACCCCAAGACTCATTTGTAGGTCATGATTACAGAAGTTAATAATTATTAACATTGATCTTTCCAGTGGAGCACGTTACGTCTAGAGTTGCCTCTAGGTGTCTTACGTAGTGTATGTTTGGGTCTGATCAGCGAACTCAAGCGGCTGACGAGATACATACCAGCGTTGTCAACCGCCTCTGCCTTAAATCACCGGCTGGCGCACCTCTTGCCGCCACCAACGCCTGACACTGGGCAGGGTCCCCCGGGATCGGGACCTCCGGACAGGGATGCCATGTTCAGTGAGGCTTCCAGATTAGCCACATTTATAAAGTGGCCTCACATGAACTATAAGTAAGTGTTGATTTCCACTGAAAAAAAGTAATAATAATAATAATGATAATAATAATAATAATGATAATGATAATAATCATTATAACTGATAATAATGATAATAATGTTTAGTTACTTGAAAATAGATTGGAAATTCTTTAGCAGTCTCCTTTTGAGATGATGTGGATGGGAAGACATGACAGATTATGTTTTTTCTATCCTATCTAAGGTATATAATAAAGACTGCTTTGTGTAACTGAGGGGGTCTGGTTTACCTTACACTAATATACTAATGACGTAAATGACTTAATTTGTCTAACTCGGTTCATGTTCGTGCAGATGGGCTTTGCCGGAACAGATGGCACAGGCTGGCTTCTACCACCAACCCATTGCAACAGATGATGACCGTGCTATGTGCTTCATCTGCAGTGTTTGTCTGGTGTATTGGGAGCCAACTGATGAACCATGGTTAGTATATTTTGGTGATATGATTATGTATATCTGTTTGTTTTGGTCTGCAAGTACTGTTTTTTTATGTAGTAATTTTTGTTTTTATGATATACAGTACTGGTGGTGATGGAAGGTGGGGAAATCGCGAATTTCAGTCAACCAAAAGTCAGAAGAATTTCCCCAGCCCGCAGTCACACACCAATTACCATATCAGATATTAGCTGACGTTAGGACCTGGATTAGTGCCTTATTTTCACTGCGACACATTTTCACTTTATTTTCCACCCATTGTTGAGCCAAGAAAGCTCCTGAATGAAGTTCAGATTGCAGCTATATGTGCATTAGTGAATCAGAACAATTCTAAGAAAGAAATATCAGCAGACATAGGATTGTCACTTTGCAGTGTTCAGTGCTGGACCAGAAAATATTGCACAGCTGAATCCCTCAATTCTCCCACCTCCCCCACACAAACCAGTAGGAACTAGGCATGTTAACCCATTAGCGACGGGTGTCCCATATATGAAACACCCGAAAAAAATAAATATTGCCAGGCGTCCCCCCAGTGTGATGCTATATTGGGGCTGCGCTCCGACACAGCAGTGGGCCATGGCCGGACAGACTCCGGGGAAGCTCCGCCCGCTGATTTTGTAGCCACCTGGAATATTTTATTTTTGGCTTCAAAATACCCTGGCGTGAATGGGTTAACTAGAGGGCTTTAAATATCAATTTTAGGCTGATAGAGGCTCAATCTAGCATCACAGGCCAGGAAATTAGGAAAAGGAACCTGCAGTTGCTTGCTGGAGTAGTAGAATGAACATTAAGAGTATATTTGAAAAAAGTCTAAGGTACTGTAGTTGCAAGAGTATTCATAAATCATAGGTAACATGTGTTCAGAGCATTATAAGATTAGCTTTTGTATTGTAACACAAAGATTGGGGACTTAGTGAGTGACGGAAAGTGTTTTAGTCAGATGAGGCTAGCTTTGAGATGACTGACAACCAGAGAGGGAGAGTGTATTGCTTTCCGGGCATTGAACCCACTGACCCTTGCTACACATTACTCAAAGGTGTCATTACACAGAGTTAAACACCTCAAATCGCTCATGGTTTGGGGTTGTTTTTTTTATATTATGGGGTTGGAATATTAGAGATTTTACTTGAGAACATTTGTATGTGCCATTGAAGCTATTTTGAACTGTCTGTCAAAGATTGAGGCTGATATTCACATTCAGGATAGGGCACCGTGTCATACCACAAAATTAGTAGTGAACTGGTGTGAATTTTGTAGTATAAAATTGTTAAAACCTTGACCAGGAGACTCTACATGAAGCACCATTTAAAGGACAAGGACACATCCATCCTGCATTTTCAAACCATCATTCAAGGCATATGAGACAATATCAAGCGTGAATATTTACAACACGTAGCTCATTCCCTTCCAGATGATGAAGAAAAGTCACAGATACGCTATCAGTTTTAAATTTTAGTCAGTATCCCCTTTATTCCCATTTTTTATTACATCAATCATCTCCCTAGGTAAGACAGGTATTTGCAAGGTCAGCGCTTTCCGCCACCGCTGTGACTGTATACGACTCGGAAAAATTTATGTTCCCTGCTACATGTTTATGAATTCTGTGGTACATGTAACCTCCAGCTTAGTTTATAGTTTCTTAAAATGAAATCCAGCTGTGTCACTTCTATCATGCCTCCTTCACAGGTCAGAACATGAGCGCCACTCACCAAACTGCCCGTTCGTGAAGGGGGAATACACGCACAACGTCCCTCTGTCTGTAACTTATGCCACCAGCCCGGCCTTAACCCACAGCGAGCGAGCAGAGGAAGTGGCTTTCATTAGCAACACCAATAGCCATCAGTTTATTGCCTCAGCCACCAGACACGGCAGTATTGTGGTCTGGAACACAGCAAAGGAACTAAAGGTATTAGCTATTAAGAGCAGGAAATGAAGAAAATCTGTGAAACTGATGTTTTATACTGAGTGATGATACTTTTTAATGTTGTGGAATGAGAGGTATTTGATCTTTCAACAAATTTTCTTTTATGTAGACAGAAACTTGAAGTCTCAACAATTCAGTTATCGAGTGTTTTTTTCCATTGCAGAAAGAAGTCAGTTTTTCCATTGATCCATCAGATTCGACAATATTAGATAAACATTTTTCGGACACAATTGGGTACACGGACGTGCCCCTCCAACCCCCAGCACCTCGAGAAGCCTGGCCTTGGGGAGAGGAGGAGCAAAACGGGCCAGCCAATATTGAAAATGATCCCCCCTCCCACCCTGGGTCCCACCCAGAGACGGATGCGCAGGGTTCCCTTGCAGTGGAGAATGATGATGCCGCTAATCTCCAATCTCCTCTGTCACCGTCTCCACCCTCACAGGCCCCCCCGCTCCCCCTGCCCCACCACCCCCACCTGCACCCCTTCGTCTCAGGTGGTAGATTTGCCTCTTGATGATATAGCTGTTGGTAAGTTTTCCTTCAAGGATGAGGTTGATGAAGACTATTTTGAGATACCCTTAACACACATATAAGGAAAATGTTTCAGCCAGTTGACTTTAAAAATTCTTTACTTCTTTCAGATGAACTGTTTGCTCCTCCGCGGCCATCACATGATGTTCGAGTGTCCTCCCTGTGTGTCCTGGCAGACCCTAATGAAGTGTCTCAGAGATACAAGGGTGCTGCAGTCAATTTGTCATCATCTGTGAGATCTTGCCTTGTGGTTGGTGTGGGCCTTAGACGTTATGAGTTATTTGGTACCTCCAGTAGCGACAGGCAGGAGACCTGTGATGTGGGCCTAGTGCAAGTGCTGAATAATGTGAATCAGGCGAGCCAAAGGAAGGCAGAGACTTTAGACATTATGAAGTTAGACTCCTCTAGAATAGGGTCTGTAACGGAAGAGGAAAATGACAATGACTGTATTGCTGTGGAATCTGAGTCTGCCTCCTTGAGTGATCCTGCAGTTGTGTCTACCTCTGTGTCTGCCGGCCAACAGAACTTTGTGCCGTATCTGTTAGTGTACGACCTCAATGTCATGGTGCCGCAGACAGCCACCAGTAATAAAGTGGCGGCGAAACCTGTCATTCAGGGCCCTTACAAAAAGTCAACTGTGAAAGTTGGAACATTTGGGCAGTCCAATATCTCGTACTCGAAAAGCAAACAGCTATGGTCAGATCCCTTAGCAAACGATATTGAAATGTTCTTTGCCCCACCAAATGTGTTTGTGAAAAACAAGGGCACCTCCCAAGTGAGCTCGACCTCCACATCTAAGTCAAAAGCCAAAGATAGTCAGGTACCAGCTGAGCCCGAATCAAAGAATGACCTGAAAAAGGAACCCAAATGCATCCAGTGTATTCCCCTACCCCATAAATTAAACAGTGTAAAGTTGCGCCTTACAGTGGACCACATTGTGCCGACCACATGCGGGGAGCACATCATCGTGACCCTAAGCAGAAGTGACAACTCAGGCACCAGTGCCAGCTCAGGGAGCATGACTGCTTCTGACAGCAATGATGGGGCGGTAGGGGGGTCGCGGGAAGTGTTCGGGGCTGTGATCATCTACAAGGTCTGCCGGGGGGGTGATGTGGTCACCCTGCAGGAGGAGCCCATCAACACCAAGCTCCTGACCTCGTTGGAGACGGTGCCCAAGAAATTGTTGGTTCTTCCTCCTGAGGTTGGTGGTTTTCTTTTATTCTGTTGTGGGAGGCTGGGCAGCTTTTAGTATTAAGTGCAGATTTTTTGCATAAGATTTTGGTAGTTTACTGTACTACTATTATTATTATTATTATTATTATTATTATTATTATTATTATTATTATTATGATATTCTGCTGTTAATGATGATTATTTATTGTGATTAGACTAGCTTAATTTTATTATTATTATTATTATGGATGTTTATATGATGATGTATGTACATGTATATTTTTTTATTGTTGTTGTTATTGTTATTTTATTATTATTATCATCATTATTATTATTATTGTGGTTTTCATTATTTTTATTATTATTGTTATTGTCAGTGTTGCTGTTATCATATCTTTATTTTTTAATTAATTTTATTGATATCATTAGTGTTATTATTATTCTTAGTCTTTCATTATTATTATTTTTATTATTATTGTTGTTTTTGTTGTTGTTGCTTTTGATTTTGTCATTGTTGTTGTTTTTTATTTTCATTGTTATTATTGATGTTATTACTGTTATTATTCATTTCACTTTTGAAAAATGTTTTGTTATTACTTTAATTTAGTAATAGTAGTAGTAGTAGTAGTATAGTTATTATAGTTATTATCTATGTTGTTTTAATAATGATGATTATTTTTATTATTATTTATGTAAATTATTGTAATAATAGTAATAATTAGAATTATCATCATAATTATTAGGCTATTGTTGTTGTGATTATGATTATTATTTTTATTATTGATATTGATATTATTTTTATTATTGATATTAATATTATTTTTATTATTGATATTAATATTATTTTTATTATTGTTATTTTCTTTATTATTACTTTCGTTTTTATTGTTGCTGTTGTTGTTATCATTATTATTATTATTATTATTGTTATTATTATTGTTATTGTTTTTATTTTTGTTGTTATTATTGTTTATTGTTATTGTTATTACTATTTTTTATCTTCATTACTATTTGTTATCATTATCAATATTATTATTATCATGATTTAATAGATTTATTTATATACTCTATTATTGCTGCTGTTAATATCATCATTATTATTCTGACTAACATTACTATTATTATTATTATCATCATCATCATTGTTATTGTTATTTCTGGTATTCTTATTATTATCGATACTATCGATAGTATAGATATTATTATTATTATTGATATCGTTGATATTATTATTATTTATGTTATTGTTTAATTTTTGTTATTATTTTTGTTGTCATTGTTGTTGTTGTTGTTGTTAATATTGCTATTGTAATAATGATAAAAATAGTGATAATAATAATAGTAAAAGTAATGATAATCATATTGATAATAACAATAATAATAATAATAGTATTACTACTTCTACCAATTATAATGATATTGAGAATAGTAATGATAATGATGGTGATAATAATAATGATAATGATAATGATGATAACAATTATAATAATGATAATAATGGTTATGAGGAAAGTAATAATAATGATGATAATGATAATAACAATCATAATAATAGTAATTATAATAATGATAATAATAAAATAGATTGTTATTATTGTTATTAGTAATAGTAAGGATAATGATAATGATGTTAATAGTGATGATAGTAATTATCACCATAATTATAATTATTACTTTTGTTTTCATCCTTATTCTTATTGTTGCCTTTGTCATCATTATCTTATTATTATCATTATTGTTGTTGTTGCTGCTGTTTTTCTTCTTGTTATGATTATGAACATTTTATTGTTTTTCTTATCAATTTCAAGTATCCTTAATTCTTTTTATTATTATTTTTGTGCTTGTGAAGAGAATCATTTGATAATCAAAATAATCCTTGTGCTTTCCCTTGATATTTCCATAATTTGAGGGGCTGTCTACTACCCTCTTTTTCTCCCTTTCACCTCCCTTCCTTTCTTCCTCTCTCTCTTTTTCCATGTTCTTGCTCAGTAGTCCTTTATTTTTATCTTTGTTTTTTTTTTTTTGTGTGTGTGTGTTTCTTTTCTTTCTGATGCTTCTCTTTTGTCCTTTCTCTTTCCCTTCTACTTTTTTTTCTTCACATCGTTGCATCTCCTTTTACTTGAAGCGGAGAGAATGATTGACTCTGACATTATTTTTTCAGTTGGTCACTTTTGTTACTTATAGGAAAATAATTGAGTTGATAGACCTGTATGCATTTTGATTTAGAGAGAGAGAGAGTGAGTGAGTGAGTGAGTGAGTGAGTGAGTGAGTGAGTGAGTGTGTGTGTGAGTGTGTGTGTGTGTGCTTAATGGCTAATGGCTCTGTCATGCTCACAGTATGGTGACAACGAAAGCAGCCTGTCGGGCATGGCTGCCTGCATCACTGTTGACGGCTCACTGAGACTGCTGTCCCTCTCCAACCTCGAGTTCCTCCACCACCTTGCGCCTCCCCCTGGCCAGCCGTACAACAACGCTGTGTATTGCAATAGTGAGTTTTGGGGAAGGCAATTTATATCTGGATGTTTTATTTTTATTTTTTCCCCCCTCTCCATTTAGATTTTATTTCCTGCCCCTTCTTTTCTAATGAAATTCTGAGGTTTCCCAGAGTAGTTTCATAAAGGTCTGTGGATTGCTTTGTCAGTTTTATCCGGAAGTAATCGACAAGGTCAGTATCGGTTGTGTGTATATATATATATATTTTTTTAATATATTTCAAAAGACTTGGCTGTATATTTATTTATCTTTCAGAGGGATGATAGGATGCAAATTAAGGGCTTAACCATTCCATTGCAATTTTTGCTGTGATTCCTTAAGCATTTTATCAAAATGAAGAATTCAGCCCCTTTTCAATACTAATTCCTTAACACATTTTGCACAGAGGGAAGAAAACAGGTCCTCTATTTAAGACTGAAATCATGTCTAATTTTTCAATCACTGTTTTAGGTTTAGAAAGACTTTGTGTCAGCTGTGACGATGGCAGAGTAAACCTAGTACAACTTCGGAGAGGGACGGAACTGGGCAAGGAAACAGACAGCACCTCCTCGGCCTCCGCACTAGCCAGCTCCACACCTTCAAACAACGCCCCGGCTCTCACACGGGAACCTGAACTTATGCGTAAGTCTCTCAGCATTTGGTATCCAGTTAGCCTACTAATAACGGGTGTCCCACATATGAGACACATGAAAAAATAAACATTGCCAGGCGTCCTGCCAGTGTGACGCTGTATGGAGGCTTGCGCTCTGACACAGCAGTGGCCAAAGTCCAGGCCAGTCCCATGCGCCGATTTTCTAGCGGCCTGGAATCTTTTATTTTCGGTTTCAAAATATACCGGCGTTAGTGGGTTAAAGGGATGTATCTCATTTTATAATGATTATTTTGATCATGTTGTCTAGATTGGCTCAACAAATGACTTGCAGATCCATCTTTCAGCCATAGACTATTAGGAAGGTCAGTTTTGCTGAACTGACCTCAAACATAATTTTACTAATTTTGTGCTGGGTTTGTTTGTTTGATTATAGCTGGTGAGCTCCTTGTGAATCAGGGAATATCTGAGGAAGTATTGGATAAGTGTGTGGAGCTTATTCAGTTCCAGACAGGGTGTCCCAGGTGAGTAGATTGGTTATTGTTATTACCCTTTTCATGGAGAAGACTAGAATATTTCTGCTCAAAAGAATTTCAGAGATGTCATAGGGAAAGAAAAATGAATGGTGATTGATTATCCCATGAATTGTAGACTTTTTTATGGGCTGAAAATCTTTATCCTATGACAGATTTGTGGCAACTGTACCTCCTTGTTGGTCTGAGATCATCCAAGCTCAGAAGCAGAGACGAAACCCCCAGCACTTACAGCAGCATGCGGAAGACATGGATACAACTCGTACTTGGCGACTGGAATCAGATAGGTGAGTTGCTTAGATTATCCTCATGTCTGGTGGGAAATGAGGTTAATGTTCTTTCAATTGCATATAAGAGAATGCACATTTCATGCATGTAGAGTGATGTTTTGAATTATTCCAGACTCTATACCTTTAGAAAAAGTGTAATTTTCCTGATCTATTAGTGACATGCCTTGTAGAATAGAGAACTTAAAAAACATTTCTTTCCCTAAAGCTCAACATGGGACGAGCATCTATTTGAGCTGCTTCTGCCGGCTGGGGCAGGTGGCACAGGTGGTGTTCAGGTGGGACACATTGATCTCAAGCTGAATTTTATCCCTGGACCACCTAACCCACTCCCAGTTCTTCAGGTAAGCATTTATTGTTTATTAATTTATTTATATTAATTTTAGATTTTTTTGTTTGTCTTAAATGAGGATGTAGCCTGATATGGAATTGAAGCGGACATTACAGTGATAATTATTATTTCCAGGTGACCTTACTGCGGCAGAATCTGACTACTCCACGACGTCAGAACGCTCAGCAGGGCAGTACCTCCTCAAATGCCACCAGCAGTGGCTCCCCCTCGCAGACTCAGGCCTCCTCCTCATCCAATATTCCTGATGACGTGTTAGGTGTGTCTAATCAATCAGATTTTGTTTGTAAAAGTTTTTAATGAGAGGATTTTTTGGGGGGGGGGGGGGGTTGATGTGGGTTGTAATTAATTTCTTTAGTTCTTTGTTTTGGGTTTTTAGTTTTCATTGATAATTCTTAATTTCTAGGTTTAGATAAGATGGGTTGTAGATTGACTGGAAATTTTGCCTTTTTTTGTTTGCTACATTTGTGTTAAACAATTTAATCCTAACAAAATTCTTTTTCATCAGAATTCTTTATTCTATATTGATAACTGATGTACATTACATTCACACATACCACCGCATTCTCTTCTCCCACAGAAGATTACCCAGAAAATCCAGTTCTGACAAAGGAGTTCCAGTTCACCCACAACGCCGAAATCCTATGTGGTCCTGTGACAGTCAACCGATGCATGGACCTCTCTGGCCAGGGAGCCAATGTCACCCTCACCTCACCCAGTCTGCTGGCTTGCCGCACCAGGACGTACCTTGTGCACATCAAAGCTTTACCGCCAAAGCTGCAGCAACAACAGCAGCAGCAGCAACAGGTCAGGAAACCACTTGGCTATACATAATTTCTATAGTTACATTTTCCATAGCTCTTACTGTTATTTATTTTTCAACAGTTGTTGTCTGTTTCAATAATGTCTACAAATGATCCTACAAATGTTATGGGCTAGCTGTCATATTGTACATACAATGGCTATTATTGTAAATTGAAGCTCACCTACACGGCGGCATGCCAAACATGGGATTATATATTGGCCTCCCTTCCACTTAGGACCTGCAGAAGAACAGTGACCTAGACCTAGTGACGCAATACATGCCCCCACAATCATCTACCTTCTTGGACCGCCTTGCTGCCTCCTCAAATAAGCGTGTTGAATTAGTTCGTGGCTGTGATATTATCCAAGAGCTTTCCATTACTGTTAGATGCTGTGCAAAGACAACCATTCTACATGACAGGTATGTTCTTTTATTTGTTGTTTTTGATTTATATTTGATATTGGTATGAATTGATTATTTCTCTGAATAAAGACGACAGAAAAAGCTTTCTGAGGTTGGATGTATATCTTCTCTTGTTATTCCTTTTTCACATTTATCTATTTTCCTGTATGATTTACAGTACAATATGAATGATAGATAAATGTACGCTCTTTCTTTGATATAGGTTGCAGAGACTATCAATTGTGGAAAATGAAGCTTTCCACAAAAACCTGATCGAGGCTGTTATCTCCGACAATTCTTCTGACCACGTTCGTCACCGAGCCCTTGACCTTCTGCTGTGGATCACGTCAATACATACAGCAGCAAGTAAGTCCAGGCTTATTTTTTGAGGCAGAGTCTCTCTCTCTCTCTCTCTCTCTCTCTCTCTCTCTCTCTCTCTCTCCTCTCTCTCTCTCTCTCTCTCTCTCTTCTCTTCTTCTCTCTCTCTCTCTCCTCTCTCTCTCTCTCTCTCTCTCTCTCTCTCTCTCTTTCTCTCTCTTCTCTTTCTCTTTCTCTCTCTCTCTTTCTCTCTCTCTCTCTCTCTCTCTCTCTCTCTCTCTCTCTCCCTCTCTCTCTCTCTCTCTCTCTCTCTCTTCTCTCTCTTCTCTCCTCTCTTCTCTCTCTCTCTCTCTCTCCCCCTCCCCCCCCTCTTTGTATGTATATTTGTGTGTGTGTGTGTCTCTCTCTCTTTCCATCCTATCTATATAATTATATCTCTATCTTGTTTATAACTGCCATTGATAACACCATCATTCATTTCACAATTTTCTTTCCCTCCACAGTCGATGACCGTACCGTAAGTGTTGGAATTATAACACTGCTGCAGCTGCATCTGTCAGGATTAGTGCGCTCCTGTGTCCTGCTTGCTGACCGTAGCATTGCACACAAAACTGCCAAGATCATAGTGACTGCTTTGGAGTAAGTGAAGGGAGTTTATTTCCTTGAATACATATTTTTTTACTTATTTTTTTATTACTCTTTATTGTTTTGTCTTCTTAGAATTGATTTTCAGTATTCCCAAAACTTTTATTTGATTATTACTATGAAAGGAAGGATGCATTATTTGATTTCCTTTGTTGTGTATTAGCTTTTAGTGGAGTAGTGTATTTATAAAATTTGTTGGGTTTGATTTGACTCTTTAGAAGTTTAGATGTATACCACTCTCCCAATTTCCCTGCTAGTTAATAAATTTTACTCTGATTTTATTCTGCATATTTTGTGTGTAGTTAATTCTTACAAATATAGACTTAAAAAAAAAAAAAGGTTAAAAAGGCCTTGTAAGACTGCATATCACAAAAGTAATGATCGTAAAACTTTTGTCTTTTGTTCTGTCTTCCACCAGGGGGTCGCGTGTCGTGGAGGGAGGTTCAGTATTTGGCTGGGCAGTGCTGGAGGCCCTCCTGGAATGGCTAGATCACATCCTACAGTGTCAGAGTGCTGGGGCTCTCCACTGGTTCTTCACACTGCTGAATCACGTCAAGTGGTGCAACCCTTGGGGCACAGCCAGGAAGGTGAGTTGGTTGCCTTTGGTATTTGTTGAGATGTTTATTTATTCATTTATATATATTCAGTTGCTATTATTTTTGTTCCTCTTTTATTTCTTTGTCTTTTGTTTTTCTTCCTCCTCATTTCTCTTTCTTTATGTTCTTGTTATTCTTGGGAACAATAATAGTGGTTTATCTTATGTGAACAGTACTCTCTCTTTTGAGTAACTCTAGTTAATCATTTTTTTCTTCTGTAGGTTACTCAGCTGTTGTCTACTGTCTCGGAGGCTGTCAGCGGGAAGGTGGATCCATTACACGCAGTATTACAAACAAAATTTAATCTCTATGGAACGCCTTTTGAGAGGGAACTCTTCGACATTGAGCCTCCATTACTCGCTAAGCAGACAGTAAGGCTTTTCATGATGTTGAAGAAAAATAGACAAGGTTTGATCAGTAGTAGAATTTCTTTTGCTATTCGTCAAAAAGTACTGCTTGACCTTTATCATCATCTTGCATTCATTCCTCTTCCCTCCCCAACAGATCAATGGTAACAATGTTGGGCATTCAGGCCCCAGCCACAGCACAAGTAATAACAATAACAACAACAATAATAACATCAGCTTTGGAAGCTCTAGCCTTCAAGGAGGTCCAGGTGGAAGTGTGCCGAGCTCCTCGTATACAACCTGCAAAAACCATGGCCCTGGGACCACAGGCGGCTATCCATACTCTGTAATGGGGCGGGATGATAGTGACATTGGAGGTCTCCTTGGCAGAGGTGGAGCCCAGGGCAGTGCATCCCTTGGGCTGACACACACCAGTGCTCTCTGTGGCCTTCTGGAAGTTGAGCCACTGCACTTTACACTTCACATGGCCAGCGATGGCACCAAGATGGAAAGGGCCTCATCAGGTGAGTGTGTGACCGTGCTAAGGGTGGAAGGTGAGAGGAAAGGCCAAGGAGGAGGTGGGTGAGGGAAAGTTAATGTGTATATATGTAGTATGTCATATAGATTTATAGGTAGGGAGAAATCAGCATTGTGCAGATAGGGGTAACTTCCTCTTCCTCCTTATTAGGTACTATTTGAAAAAAGTCAAAAGCAAACAGTTGGAAATACCAGCTGATAGAGAATAATTGTAGCAGTAAGAGGAGGGGGAGGTCAGTCGTGAGTTTGCAAGTACGCGCCCCACTAGTGTCCTTCATCCTCCCTGTTCGAGATCTGCAAACAGAAGAGTCCTTTTTCTCTGTCAGGTACAGGTCACCCTGGCAGTCCCTTCATGATGCAGCCGTTCACAATCCCTGGGGGCCTAGACACCAGTGCCCTCTCCCAGGTTGAAGCCTCCACCAGCAGCGGCACAGCCAAGGCAGTCGATGTGTCTGTCACCATGGTAAGTTCGCAATCACGTTTGCTTATCTGCAATTGAAAACATTTTTTCATTTGATAGTTACTTCAGTTCTTTGTTCTTTCTTATTTTAACCCCTTGATGCTGGGTTAGCATATACATGAATTGTCCTCTGTGATTTAATTTACTTATTTTGTTTACACTTGGATAGCTGCCCTTGTTCTTCGTTACTAAGGAGTCGATTGTTAGGTCTTCCTGATCTCGCCTGTTTACCCTGTTCCTTGAATTTTTTGATTTTTTAAATTTTATTGGTTTTAGTATATATATAGTATGTAATGTTATAATGCTAATAATCCCATTGATGATATACTTGTGCCATGGCAATCACATGGACCAAAATGGAAGCATTGGTTAACGTAAGTGGCCACTCTACCCGGTGTATGTTGTATAAGCTGGGCGCACAAGAACACTCATGTGCGGTGAAAAGACTCAGTGCCTCTCCTTTGCGAAGTTATTTTGCATAAATGTTTTTAGTTTTTTTTTTTTTTTTTGTCATTATCCAATGTCTATATTTGTCTTTTGATCTACTTTATCTTGAGGGTGATAGACTGTTTTCCTTACACAGACTTCATATCATAACTCCATGTAATGAATGACTCAGATCAAGAAAAAAAGAAATATTTAACATGTTATTTATCACATATTAATTTTTTTCATGGATATTCAATTTTCTGTAATGCAACTTGTACCTCTGATCATGGCGGCCAAGACTATGATGCTGAGAATGGAAATGGCATCCTCCCTGGAGCCAGCGCTCTTCCAGTCATGGCTTAAAAACATTACATCCCATTTCATCGTTTATCAATGGGAATGATGCAAAAGTCCGTTTCCAAACACCAAATGAGTCTAATCACCCTTCAAGAGGTTTGTGCACTCATGGAAAGCCTTTTCAGTCACCCTGGCCTTTGCTCCTGACATCATGTTCATGCCACCCAGCCCAATATTTTCATGAGGTGGTTGTCATGTTACCAGGATCAAAGGGGCTAATAAGGATAATAGCATTAGAAATGAAAAAGAATCCTCAAATTTTTTAAAAATAGGGTAAACCTGCGAGACAGACAGGCCTAGGTATTAACGTCTTGTTTACTTATGCACTTGGGAAGGCATCTTGTGTTATTAAGTTATCACTATTCTTCATCATTTAAATGGTTATTGTTTCATTGTTATTGGTAGATGTAGTTATTACTGTATCACCTTATTTTAATCACCTTGCATTATATTTACACAAAAAACTGCCTGTCTGCCATAGCTATGAGGCTAATTAGTTGATATATAGTGTTTTTTGTTGCTGTTCATAATTCATTGTGTTCACAGGATATGATTTAATCTCTTCTGTTTGATAATGTTAAAGGTTGGGATACATGTCAATTTAAATCATTTTGAAGCTGTAACACTTATTTTTATGAAAATATTTTTGTTATTATTGTTGTTGTTGTTATTGTCATTACCATATTATTATTTATTATTAATTATTATTATTATTATTATTATTATTATTATTATATTATTATTATTATTAACCTTATTATTCACCATATATTATATATATTATTGTTGTTATATTATTATTATTATTATTATTATTATTATCATTAATATTATTATTATTATATTTTTATATATTATTATTATTATTATTATTATCACCTTCACCATTACCTTTACTATTTTTACTGTTAACATTATCATTGATATTATTTTGATTATTACTTTCATTATTGTTATTTGTTTTTTTAATTGCTATTATTATTATTATTATTACTGTTGTATTGTGTTGTTTTTATGATGATGATAATCATTATTATTATTGTTATTATGATTTTTTTTAATATATATTAATTAATTATATGTAATATTATTATTATATATTATTGTTATTTACTATTATTAATATTGTTATTATTTGTTAATTAATTATTATTATTATTTAATATTATTTAATATTATGTTATGATTTTTATTGGTATTATTGTTATTATTACTATCATTATTGTTGTTGTAATTCATGTTGATATTGTTATTATTACTGTTGTTGTACTTGTTATTATCATTATCATATATTATTTTATGCTATTGTTTTTATTATTATTGTTATTGTTATTGTTAATATTTCTGTTATTATTAGTTAATATCATCGTCATCCCTTTTTTGTTGTTGTTGTTGTTATTATTATTATTACTGTTATTACTATTGTTATAATCATTATCATTGTCATCATTGTTGTTGTGATTTCAATTGTTATTGTTATTGCTATTGTAACTTTATAATTATTATTGTTATTTTTATTATTATTATTATTATTATTGTATTATTATTATTATTATTATTATTATTATTATTATTATCATCATCATTGTTATTTATTATTGTTATTATTATTAATGTTATCGTTGTTATTGTTATCATCATCATCATCAATCATCGATTTTTTATTATTCTTATTTTTTTTTTTTTTTTTTTCTGTTTCATATAAAAGTTTTGATTATTATTGTCATTGTTATTATCATGTCTTTGTTGTAATTATTACCATTATTGTGAATTTTAAATTATTGATTTATTCATTCATTCATTTACTCACTTTGGTGTCATTATTATTATTATGGGAACATTATGTCTCGGAAGCAAATACAGTCAAGCTGGATTTAAGTGCTACATTTTTCTTTTTGCTTTTTGTAATGTGCTTTCATAGTTTTTTTATTGAATCAGTATGAGAAATAATATAGTTTGTGATCACATTTGATTGATTGTTGTTGTGTGTGTAATTAAGTAGTGTTTGTGGTTGGTCTTTGAACCGAAACGCTTAGCCCAGTGAACTGTTTTGCAGCTCCACAAGGCAGTTGAAGACATGGCTGTAAAGAATCAGGCTCTCGAGCTTCGACTAGCTAAGAAGGCCACTAAAACTTATCTAGAGAAGCTGCAGACTCTCAGTGACCAGTTAGCGTCAATGAAACACTGCCTTCAAAAGGTAGAGATGATAGCTTTCGTTACTGGTTTTATTTTGTTTATTTTTTTGTCTTTTTATTATTATGATTATCATTATTATTTATTTATTCATTTATTTGTTTATTTTTCTTTGTTTGCTCTCTTCCTGTGAGATGTAGAATACTTGTGCTTGTTTTCTGGTTGGAATTCGGTGTTTTGATTTTTATGCCCATGTTTTCAATATGGTGTCACAGTTAAGTGAATACAGATTAAGCGATAAGAAAGAAGGAAGGAAAGAAACACTTGAGCTGGGGTTTCTTCTCAGTGTCTGGTTTGGATAACCGAGGCAATACACGCACTGTCTGCTTGCTTTTCAGGCCAAGCAGCGCACACAGACACTGGCCAAGGTGGTGGCAGCAGAAAACTCACAGGCAGTAGACCCTTTGCTTCCACTAGATGTCGAAGGCAAGGCCAACGACGCCAAGGAGGAGGCCAGTACCATCTCGTCACGCAGCTCAGACACCACCCCAGACCACGATGGAGTGAGTTCATGCCTGCTCCCTGAGTGCGACGATGTCATGGACTCAACTGCAGTGCAGTACATTGGCAATGGGCACGTGGGCTCAGATGTATCTGGCAAGATTGACTTTGGGTTGACTTCGCTGGAAAAGGACGAAGACGACTCCAAGCCATCCAGCCAACAGGGATCCAACACCAAAAGGAAGAGCGAGGAAGATGTCAGTTCCCTAGAAAGCAAGTCATCGACACCCTCTGCGGCCCATCCACAGGCCAAGGAGAGTACAAACACTGGGAAGAAAATTCCATCAGCTGTCCAGGGGTCACTTGGAGCCCCCTGGCAGCAGCTGCTCTCGCTCCCACCGCAGCAGATGTTGGTCATCGAGAGGATGCACTCAGGGGCTCGGAGATTTGTGGTTCTCGATTTTGGAGCGCCAGTTTTGCTCACAGGTGAGAGGGTCCTGTTTGTTCTCCTCCATGGGTAAGAATTTTGTCATGTTGAGGCAAATGGACATGCATGATATGGTATATAATGTACATAATTTGGACAGATATGTATGTATTGTTAGGATGTATCTATGCATCTATGTATCTGTGTCTGTTTGTCTGTCTGTTTATGTATGTATGTGTGTATATATGTATGTGTGTGTCCGTATATAAATGTGTGTTTGTATGTATGCATGTATGTTTATTGATATTTCTGTGGAACAGATTGCCTTCAGCGTATTCCTATGTTTTCTTGTTCCTCCCTTTTTTTTCTTTTCTTTTTTTTCTATTTGCAATGTATCTTTACATATAGAAAAATTATCTTTCAAGTTGCAATCCTTAAAACTGACTATTATCCTTTGACTTTTGCAGACGTGGTGATCCCAGCTTGTGGTGATTTAGTGTCACTCAGCATTGATATCTGGATGACAGGAGAGGAGATGGATGGTGAGAGGTTGGTTGTGGCCTCAGACATTGGAATGAGACCTCTTATTCTTGCAGATTTGCAACCACCACCACTCTGCAGGTATCTGAAGGTAAGCTGTGGCTTGATGGTCCTCCGTTGCTATCCATTGTGCATGTTGTGTGAACATATTTAGAAATTGCAAGGCCTGATTATGTATGTTTGCTTCATATTCACATGTGAAAGGAGGGATTGGATAGACTGCTGAAAATTTTATATATATACATATATTTTTGACATGGATAGATAATTTTTTATAATGATTTAACAGGTAACAACATTGGGAAGATATGGCATGAACACCTCATCGCAGTGCAGAATACCGGTTGGCGCTTTTTATGGGCACACACTCATCCTCCCCTGGCAGCTGCAAGGGAGTCTCCCACCTCCTGGTATTGTCAACAAATTATCAGCTCAGGTTGGTACTCAGTAAAGAAAGTTTTGGGAAAGATTGTGTTGAAAACAAAAGCATTGGCATTGTTTACCTTCCTATTTACCTGAAGAGATACAGTTCCTCCTACCTTTACAAGCCGGAAAACCACAATGACTTTCCAGACGCAGCTGACAGTCTTGAGCAGCGTTGTGGAGGACATTGGATGCCGCTACAGTTTGGCCTGCAGTAAGCTCAGGTCTCTGCTGAACCCTCTCCTCATGAGCCCCACCGCACCAACGGGCCCCAATTCATCCTCGGGTCTCTCAGAGCCCCCCTCCATCGGATCACGTGATGCTGACTTGGAGAGAAAAATCACACAAGCTTACCAGGTGTGCTATGCTGTATATTTTGTGGTAATAATCCATAGGTTAATTTTTTTTTAATGATGCAACTCTACTGTATACTCTACTAGTCATCTTGTGACACAATCATTACCCTTTTGTTGTACTTTATAGAATATCTTAAGATTTTCACAACAGATTGCAGTCACAAAATGACAATTTTTCCAGGAATGTATGCTAGAGCAGCAGCACCTCAACTTGGTCGTGTCCGTGATGCGTCGTCTGCAGAGAGTGGGAGGCAGTGGAGAGGGGATCGCTGGACAGTTTTCCCCTACTTCCTCAGCTTCTCGAGACAGCAAACAACAGTTTGTGACAGCTGCAAACTGTGCCTCTGACAAACTGGCCACTCTCATGCAGTATCTGCTCAATTGTCTTTTGACATTGTCCCTCCCAATACCTAGCATGTCGGTATGTGTCTTCAGAATATTATGATACTTTAGAGAACAGAAATAATTGAGAGACATATTTAACTTAATATAAACTTATATATGACTTGTTCCTTGATGTCACATTTTTTCTGTAATAGGTCCCACACAATCTGATGGAATGGTGTGGACCAGAGCAGGCAAGAGTGCTTGTGGAGCAAGTGTGTGTGCGAGGGCCAAAGGGTGCGCAGGTGGGAGTTGCCTCGCTCCTGGCCCGTCTGTGTGCTGGACAACCCTGGTGGGGAGACTTCTTGGCCAGCACCATGATCACCCTCTTCTCCTCTAGCAACACCCTGCACTTCCCGGCCACAAGGTGGGTATTGTGGAGTATTTGGGTTTTTGATATAGAGATAAAAAGGTGATTGAGTATAGAGGAAGAGTATAGATTTTTTTTTTTTCTCTCTCTCTCTCTCTTTTTGCTTTGGTTAATTATATCTTTGGATAGTAAAGATAGTTATTTATGAATAGGTGTATGAAGATATAGACAGGATAAATGGTTAGAATGGATAGCTAAGTATAGGTATTTCTTTCATACTTTTCCTTCTTTCTTTCCATTATTTATTGATTGTCTTACTTAACCTATTAATCCCAGGTAAAATGATTTGGCAAGTGGACATTGACGCAGGGTTGTCGGCATAATTTGACAGTTTCCCCTGTTTGTGCCCGGTTGTTTGGTAATTTGCGGACAACATTATAAAAGTTTTTATTTTGATATCATTAAAAAAAAAAAAAAATTAAATGTGAAGGTTTATCTTGACTCTAGGTACCATTGCCTAAAAGTTGAACCACTGTAATAGTGCTGCTACTATTGGAGAAAAACAAGCTCCGTCCAATCAGCTGATGGCTACTTTGTTCACAACAGCTATGGCACCTGATAGCATAGAGTTCATAAAAGTACCAACCACATAAACATTACATTACATTTTTTCATTCTCTCCCACTCTATCCAGAGTCTTCGCCCTGCTCACCTTCCTGGGACAGAAGAGCGTGGGGAGTGGGCGCGGAAGCCAGGTAATTGATGCAGTCCTGCGTGTCCTGTCAGCCCAGCTTCATAGCAGTGTTAGCCAGGTACAGTATGGTCCTGTCCCTGTATCAGCAGCAGGGCTAGACAACATCTGGCAGCCATGGCAAGTTGCATCATCGCAGGTGGACACACATCTTATCTCCTGGCTCTTGCTCTACCTCTCCCTCTGCCTGGATGCTCTCACGCCCACACGCAAGAGTGACAGTGACAAAGGCAAAGAAAATGGTGGGTTGTGGTTTTATGATTGTCTGTTTTCTCTTTCAGTAGCATTTGTGTTGTCTCTCTTATTTTCTCGTGTGATCTTTGTCATGCACTACCCCCCCCCCCCCCTCTCTCTCTCTCTCTCTCTCTCTCTCTCTCCTCTCTCTCTCTCTCTCTCTCTCTCTCTCTCTCTCTCTCTCTCTCTCTCTCTCTCTCTCTCTCTCTCTCTCTCCCTCTCTATGTCTCTCCCACTCCCTCTCCTCTCCCCTTTCTCCTTGTTTTTCTTTTTAAAGTCACCTATTGACTTCATCAACGGGTACTTAAAATAGTATTGATAGAATATAAATGAATTGATCAATAAGTTTTATTTTGACTCCTCTTAGAGAAAACATTGGAATTTGGTTTGTAGATACATTACATTTGTTTTGTTTTTTGTTATTCTTTGCTCAGACACACTTACCATCTGTATTAATGTAAACTGTCGTTACAGGATTTCATTTTGTTGCAGGTGGGCGTTGGACCTGGCTGACAGCAGAGACATGCCTGCAGCGGAGAGGTTCGGAGGCTAGCCGCAGTGCCCCTAGAGCCTCTCGTGACCGTCTTCGCAAGCGCCTTGTCTACCACCAAAAACAGCAGCTGGTGAATCTCGAGACAGCTACCAAGTCCCTGGGAGAAGTCACGGCTGGGGTAATTGCTTGTGAATTTTGTGCCTTTCCTTTGTTTCTCTCTTTGTTTTGTTCTTGCAGTGTGTTGCATTCTTTTCCTTTTCTTATGAGAAATATGAGAAGTAGTCTGGATTAACTTTGGAGTGATGAACCATTCATATGTCATGGATTACAGAAGTTGAGTTCTTGCATGTACTTACTATAGTAGAAGTAAAAAAAAAAAAAACTTTCTCTGGAGTTCTGGAATTATTTTATTTTCAAGATTGGGAAGTTAAAATATGATGTGGTTTTAGAAGATTTTGTTAGGGTAGAGGATAGAGCAAGAGTCTGCAGTGATTGATAGATCTAGAATTAAGAAGAGAACGAATTTGATGGCCATATCGTAAGTACAGGTTTGTTGTGTGGTGTTTGTTCTCAAAACTGTGTTGGAGTAATATGATTTTTTGTTTGTGTGTTTGTCTTTCATGAGTGGCAAGTCAATACGCATGGGAAACTGGTTCTTTTGGAGCCATTCCCTCCTCAGCGTTTGATCACCCCCTCTTGTAGAACTCTTCATTACCGTAAATTTAAATGTTTCACACACCTGCACACCATGCTTTGTATCTTAGGTTCAGGTTTGCAGGGCTCAAGCATTTTGTGTCATGTAACTTGGTCATGGTATATGATATTCCATATTGTTACTGTGCAGCAAGTTCTAGCAGGACTAAGTGGCGAAATTTACCAGAAGCTGGACACTATCCGGAGATCCATTGTAAGAAGATACTCTCGCACGACTTCTGCCTCGTCGAGTGGAGGAGGAGGGGCGCGCAAGGACGATGGGGAGCCACCGCAGGATGCCTTCATGCCCTTGGACCGAGCCAATGCCCTGTCAGTGGCACACGGACTCATTAAGTTGCTCATGAACTCCAGCTCCCCCTGCTGTGTGGACTCCTTCCTCCTGACTTGCAAGGTGGGCATCGGTGCAAGAAATGGTTTCCTTTCTTGTTATAGTGATGTTAATGATTAGTATTTGTGTTATTATTGCTATTATTTTATTATTATTTTTATATTTATTATTATTATTATTATTATAATCTTATTGTCTTCATCATTACCATCATTGATGTTCTTATTACTTTATTTGTCATTGTTAGTATTATTATGGATATATTATTATTATTGTTATTGTTATTACTACTACTATTATCATTATTATTATTATTGTTATAAATATTTTTGTTGTTAACATTATGGTTATCACTTTAACTATGACTATTATGTTTTTAAGATACATAAAGTGATGTTAATGATTAGTATTTGTGTTATTATTGCTATTATTTTACTGAGCATTAGTTTAAGGGGCCAGTGAATAACATTGTTGCTGAATAGCCAATGGGTTAAGTTTTATGATTTGCAGATAACTAAGTTTGAGGACATGTTAATGGCTTGCTTTATTTTTATCTTTTCATTAATGTAATTGCATACAATTATTTCTTCATATAGGGAATGATAAAGCTTTTTTATCTATTATTAACCCATTAACGATGGGTGTCCCATATATGAGACACCCGAAAAAATAAACATTGCTGGGTGTCCAGCCAGTGTGGCACTGTATTGTGCTCTGACGCAGCAGCGGGTGGACACAATCTGGGGACGCCGATTTTGTAGCCACCCGGAATATTTTATTTTTAGCTTCAAAATAAACTGTCGTGAATGGGTTAAGCGCATAATCCTTTCTAAGAAATTGATTTGTTATTAATACTGTATGCCTTTATAGGTGATTGGAGGTCTTGTAAGTGTCACAAGGCCAAGTCCAGCCTTGACGGAAATTGTGACTCGTACTCAACTGGGGGCTCTGTTGCGTCATGCCCTCACACTTGACACCACCTGGGGAGCTCCTTGGGCCCTTCATGCACTTACTTGCCTTCTGCAGGATATTCTTGAAGGTATGTTTTCATTTTGTTTCTCTGGCTAGAGAAGTGTGAAAGTTCCTAAATAGCACTTAGGTTGAATCATATATCATTTGTATATTATTGGCTTGTTGCCCCACAGGTGAGCGCTTATATGGCAGTGTAGTCATGAACACAGAGCAACACAGGGAAGAAGTAGAAAACTTTGACATCGCGATGGATGGTGCACGGGCAGCAGCAGCTGCTGCAGCAGCAATCCCTTCAACATCAGGAACTACCTCAGCTGCTGCTGCTGTTGTAGCAGGGCCATCAGGAGCTGCAGCTGGGCAATCGGGATCCTCAGGACCTGCTGGGCCTGCAGGGAATGGAGTGGCACCGACTGTGAATGGGTCAGCTGCTGGAGAAGGGGGCACTGGCTCCCCCCAGAGCAGTGCATCGCCATTAGGAGGTGCGTGCGTGGTCACCCAGAACTGCCAGGCAGACCAGTCAGCCACGCCCCTTAGCCCCCCTGTGGTGGGCATGGCCACAGCACACTACACTACCCTGGAGGAAGAGGACATACCTGGTAAGCATGGGCTGATAATTTCTGAATTGTTATCAAGAGAAATGGTGTCAAACTCTTGATGTATTTGTTGTCCTTATTCTCCATTTTGAGTAGTTCAGACTGGTTGTGTCGTTATTGGTTACTTAGTTATTTATGATGTATATATGAAATGGATATAGTTATACAAATATTGATTGTGGTTAACAGGCAGATAGATTAAGATATACATGTATTAATTATTCCATGATGTTTCTCACATCAGGAAAATATTCCTTCCTTGACTTGGAAGACAGCTCAGAGAGTGAAGACATGATTGGGGAGTACCTTGCAGACATGCCAGCCTTTGTTGGAGGGGCCTCGAACAACAGCATTACCTCATTTGAACTCGCAGTGTCAAAGTAAGCTGTCAGAGCGGGTGCTTTGTTGTTTATTGAGATTATGTTAAAGTAAAGGCAGTGGGTCATTTTACAAGTTACATGATAAGAGATAAGTATAGTGTAAAAAAAAATAAATGTCTATTCTGATTGTGTATTTTTTTTTTTTTTCTTTTTTTTTTTCTTTTTTTCTTTTTTCTATCTTCTTTTCTCCCTAGTCTTCCCCCACCCTACCCACCTCCACTGCCCACTCAATCGTCATCCCGCAGTGGCAAGGACTCCCGCATCGGAGACTTGGTGGCGGGACCCCTGGCCAGCTCTCACCCTGGGATGGACCACTCCACTGCTGTCGATGCCAGGCTGGAGGCCGGAGTTTCACTCTTGTCTGAGCTTAGGCTGCATATGATGGCTGCCGTCCACACATCCAGGCTCAGTCTAGCTGTCACTGCGCCACTCAAGGTATTTTTTTTCTTCTTCTTCTTTTTTCTTGTTTTCTGTTGTCTGCTTTCTATAGCGTCTGTTATTTTCAGTAATTTTGATTAACAAGAGAGATGTTTGTCTTCTTTATAGTGCACATATTTCATACATATTTCACATCACAAGTTCAACTTAAGAATACCCTTTTAAGTAAAGAATGAATTATTTTGATGTGATTATATCTTGGCTCTGAATGAAAATGATGATTAACTTCAGGTGAACAACGGCATGTGGGGCGACACTGAAGTCTGTGGCCCTGGTGACTTGACAGGGAGCGTGGAACTCCTCACCGATGTGTTCCAGAAGATTCTCCTACATCTGTCCATGCAGGTGTGTTGCTCAGCTATTCTTGTTAACTGTGGTCCGTTTACTGAAGTCTTGTCATGTGTGTTTACGGACTTGTACCACCTCTCTGTTTTTTTCTCTTCTTTCTTTGTCTTTATTTACATTCTTCTAAATTTCCTCTGCTTCCTTCTTAATGTTATAGGAGGAAAGTAAAAAGATTAGAGGGGAAGTTGATCTATGTATCCCCATCGAGTACCATGGCAAGAAATATGATCAGTTTCTGTAGAAATTACATAAGTATTGGCTATTGATACCTTATAGGGATTTTTAGTGATACTATATTTTAACCCATTAAACATAGATGGCACTGTATCATGAATTGCTTTACATCATCAGTATGTTGGAGGGAGCTCTTCTTCCTCCAATAGTAATAGTATTATTGTTTGGTGTCAGAACTACATATGGGTAACTAATGTAAAGCAAAAACAATCTTTTTTTTTTTTTACTTTTGTATAAAATCTCCAACTATGAATGATTAGCTGCCCCGAGTTGTGCTTGAGATCCTGAATGGGTGTAGATGGGAAGTTAATGGTGAATGCCTGCGTTACTAGCCATTAGATAAATTTTGATAATTATTGGGATGAATTCTGACATCCATTGGAGGACTGTGAACCAATCTGCACTATTTAGAAAAGGAATTGTTCTTATGCATTACATTTGTGTTATTAAAATTGATCCAGATAGTGATAATGATCTGAGAGAATTATAAAAAGAAAGAAGTGTTTGAAAATATATATTTCATTATACTCCTAAATATCTATCCATCCATCTATCTGTTTAACTTCATCACTTCCTTGTTACTGCTTCAGTTTGACGGCAGCCACGTAGAATCAGTGCTTGGGTTGTGGCTCAGCATCAACTTGGAGCTTGCAGGGGGCAAGTACGCTCCCTCTGTTGCCCCAACTGTGCACCTAACACCAAGAGCCATCTCAGCACTCTTGGCTGCAGTTGTCAGGTAAGTGTGGTGGTGAACAATTCAGATGGGAGACATTTTATTTGATTATTTATTTTACAGGTTTGACAAGGAATATTTGCTTGTCTCCAGAAATTCAGTTTTGTTCTTATTTAAAATAGCTTCCTTACTTTGTTATATTGGTATAGGTGCTTACTCATTTAGTCGACAGTTATATAACCCAGGTGATTATTGCATATATCCAGAAGTGGAAGCGTCAGCATGCGGTGTTGGTGTCTTGTGCTGCAGACGCTTACACTCTGCTGCAACTATACGCCACAGGAACCCACGGCGCCACACCCTACCAGCGCTGATCAGTACGACCATGTAGACTTGGTGAGTATTGCATTTGGGGAATTTTTTTTCTCTCTCGCTCTCTTTTTAAGCAATTTGTTTGGAGTAAATTTAGTTTGTCTTTGAAGTTTGGTGGGTTTTTGTCAAGATGATATGGGTTTGATTTTAGAGGGCATTCAGTTTCAGTTGGGGAAATTTGGAAATTATGTTGAGAATATGTGTAAGAATGTGACTTTATTTTTTATCAAGCATTCAGGAGGCTTTGAAAAAATAGATATTTTTTTGATAGAAACCCCTATAGAGTTCATTCAGTTTAATTTTGAATTGGTCGAATAAAAGGGGATGGAATTTAGTATGCTGTTAGGAATATGTTAAATATATGTTATATTTGATGATAATTAGTTGTTGATTTTGAGTGAGAAAAACAAAAATTCAATAACGTTTGATGTTATTTTATTTTCAGACTGGAATGTCAATGAATATTGTGACAGACACAAACTTTGTCCCAGCACTTCAGAAGCTTTTGACTGGATCATGTGCTACAGGCTCTGATATGCGAAGTGATGTGGTGAGTGATGCAAATTGAACGTCTTCTCTAAACTAAATCATTTGCACTATGACTTGAGTGTCTATGTCATATAACCATCTTAAGGAATGTCTCCTATTGGCAAATTTTATGTAGAATGTGTCTTTATTTATAGAAGGAAGTTGTGGAGGAAAATTCCAAAAGACATGATTTTTTTATATTTAGATTATTAAGGACAATATTAGCATTGGCCTTCGCTCCTTTCAGGTTGGGAGCACTGTTACGGGACTCCTAGAAGACCTCCTTGTCCGGCTTCGTGTGAGATGTGACGTCATCAGCGTGACCAGTGGGCCTGGCACAACCCTGAAACACGCCCTGCTAAGTCTTGTAGCTCGACTCTTGGAGCCTCAGGGGGCCATCTCACTCGCCATGGGACCCCTTGATGCCCAGTGCTGTCTCCTGGGCACGCTGCTGTCCATGCATTACGATGGCTTGGACAGAATGCATGTCCCTCTTACCATAATCAGTTCAACAGGTGAGTGTTAGGGCATGGTGCCAGTGAATTGTTTTTCTTGATCTTATGGTAGTATTTAGAACAGTCCTTGTGTTTATCTTTTTTACATCATAAAAATAGCTTATTGTCTCAGGTTTAGGAATGAAAGACTTTCCTTTTTTAGTTATTTCCATCAAACCATATGAATACTTTGATGTCATGAATGGCAGTTTTACTAAATGTCCAACACTCCCAACAGTGATTCTGGTACACGGCCACCTGGTCTCGAGCGAAGGGATGACCTACGGGGCAAACAACCAGAATGCAACCATGTTAGGTGGACTTTTTGCCTCCGTGCTTGGATCAGATGGACGCCAGGGGCCAGCGCCTTCTCGTCTGGCCCTCCTGTGCTCGCTCCTCAACCTGTCTCGCAAACTAGCACAAACACCACTTGTCAATCCAGCTCAGGTATAGATGACTAGCTCTTGGTTTATATTGTAAGTTTTCTGTTACATTTAGGTTCTTTTTGATGTTCATGTGATTATATAGTACTTAGATATTTGTTATTAATGTAATTTAGAATGTTTATTGGCTTATAGATGTATTTCTTTTAAGCTTACTTGAGAGTTAACATAAAAGAGTTATTCTTCAGATTTTAAGTGTTTGAGTTTGAAGAAAATAAGACCAATAGATAAGAAAGTTTAATCATTCTCTTTTTGTATTTTCTCTAATAGTCTAAATCACCATCACACCTTCCTTCAGCTGACCGCTGTTAGAGATAATCATTTGACTCTTATATCCAGGTTCGAGTGGGAGTGGCAAATTATGAAGCCCAGGAAAACTCAGGGGGTTCCCTTACCGACTCGAGTAAATTAGAGCAGCAACGCACAGATGCCAGTTCTAGCCAGACCGATGAACACAAAGCCATGCATACCCCCCAGACTTGCTCACATGCCGCCCCAAACAGTGTTCCATGCTTGGCAGATACAGGTACGTTGTTGTTCCTTTCAGTTCTTGGTTTTGGATGGGCTAAGTTATCCTTTCAAAGTTATGAAGAGATTGAAATGAAAGCTTGATGTCTTATTTGAAAGGCAAAGGCAGAGTAGAGAGATTCATTAGAAATAGTCGTTTGAAAGGTTAGTGAAGTAAATATGTATACATATTTTTGTATGCTCAAAGATAACTATACTTGCTTCAGGTCCATAATTTAGTTGTATTTTCCAATATGATTGATAACCAATAGTTTTCCGCAAACATAAACACCCTCCCATATAAAACTCACACCTCGGTAATCTCCTCTGCAGTATTACAAAATGGGGAGACGATGCAGCTGCTTCTGAAGTCGGTGGCAGCTTGTGAGGGTAGTAGTGTGTCCATGCTCTTGGGTACAGTAAGTGGAGAGGTCTCGGAGAAGCTGTGCCTAGGGGAGACCCTGACCGATGCCCTCTACCAGCTCCTTCTCACACTCAATGCCAAGGCCACAGCGCCAGACCTCATTCTGAGACCTGTCGTGGAATTCATTACTCCAGGTTTGTGTGTGTAGATGAAAGAAATGGTACAGTGAGAAATTTGCATCAAAATGGGATTTTTGATGAGTTCATGAGAAGATTTGTTTCATCAATGTGATTCCCTTTTACGCAGGTGGGTGGTGGAGTCCCCCCTCACTGTCAGAACCAGCTCTCTGTTTCTTCACGCGAGTGCTGGACTGTCCAGCCATACTCGAGAAGTTTGCTGCTCTTGGGGGCATGAAGGTATGGCATTTTCTTCTATTTCATCAATTTTGTTACTCACTGAATGTGGTAATGTTGAAGACAGTAATTTTTTGTTTTTGTTTTTTACTCTTGAGAAAATTCAAAAGACAAGCATTGATTGGGAATCCCTGTTTGGTCTGGCAGATGCTTTGGGAAAACCTAGTGAGCAGTGTAGGGATGATGGGAGGTGGAAGGGGTGGCTTGGTGACTGCAGTCATGAACCATCTTGCTCCTCCTCTCCCGCCATCAACACACAACACACCCTCGAACAAACGCAACGAGACAGTCGAACAGAACCAGGGTCTGTACAACTTTGCCCCACTGGCTGTTGTAACATCAAGCAACCCGACTGCAAGACCTGCCAACGTCCTCGTGGACTCCAATCAGCTGTTCCAGAGGACTAAGGTCTGTTTCAAGTCCTGGTTTTCTGAATAGCATTTGAATTGATTCCTGTAAAGAAGCGTTTGTTTATTAATGAATTAGTTTCTGTTTATACTTAATTTTGTAATGTAAATTCTTTTGATTTCCAAGAAGGTTGTCTTCCTTTGAGTCTGAGTGAAGATAAGTGATTGTTCCTCTATCCTTTCAGAGTGCACCCTGGTCGTACCACTTCTATCCTGACGAGAGTTGGGTGGATTTGAACTTGACATTACCCTGTGCCGTACTGCTGCATGAGGTCCATCTGCTACCTCACACAGTGTCCCTTGTCTGTAAGTCTCCTCTCACTGAGTGAAGAACCATTTACTCAGGAGTTACTAATTTATCAGGAAAGAATACCTTTATGATGCTGTCGATTGAAAGTTGTTATTGTTGTGGGATAAAAGATTGTGCTATAATTTTTGCTGTGAAGAAGAGGAATAGAATTTTAGGCGGATACTATTTATTGACATGATTATTCTCTGTTTTATTTCCTTATGTTTGAATGACATTGATATTAGAGTAATATTTTCAAGAAAGTCAACATAGGTCTAATTACTTTTTCAGCATGTCCATCAGCAGTATCAGTAGAGGTAGGTGTTGAGGGTGGATACCTGATGCCAGTGAGTGGCCCACTGAGCACTGCTGGCCTCTCTCGCGTCCGCCTTGTCCTCCCACGTCCGGTAGTTGCCTCGATTGTCGTTGTGCGCCTCCATCGTCCACGAGACTCCTCCACTCTGGGACTGTCTCAGCTCAAACTTCTTGGAACCACAACCTTCAGGGAAGCATCTAGAGGCGTCCATGAAACGGCCATCAGCGATCACACACCCCACCGCGCAAGGTATTTCTGATAAGTTGGTTTGCTTGTGAATACTATAGGTTTGTTTCCATCAGTGAAAATTTAATGATTAATTTGCATATCAGTTGTTTTCCCAGCTTGTTTTTTACTGATGATAAAATTTCAACTTCGTCAGCATGTGGTGGCTCCGGCTGATCCACCAGTGCATGTGCCGCGTGGAGGGAGGCCTGAGTGTCGGCGTGGAGGCAGGAGCATCTGTGTCGGGAGTGATGGAGGCTTGTGTGACACTCCTTCTGACTCCACCAGGGCCGCTCCACCTTGCCCCTCTAGGCTCGGCACCACTGGAGGCTACCACACTGGCTCTTGCAGCCCTCTCGCCCCAACTGCTCCACACCCTGATCATGACGCTCCTCACACACCCTCTCTTACGCCAGCCAGCAGGTTAGTGCATCATAGAAGAGGTTTAGCCACTTTCTTTGGTATAGACATGATAACTGGGGCTCGAGTAACACCTACTTTGATTACTCTTATACTTTTAAGGATATTTCTTGAAATTTTGGGAAAGCTTATTGAAATGTTGAACTTGTCCTTTATCTACCTAACTCCCAAATGTACTAACAGGTGGTAACAGCTTGGACGCAGCTATAGCTCTCCTGTATGAACTCTGTGTCGGGAACAGCAGTATGGAGGGCGTAACAGTCTTAATATCATGGCTGAACCACATAGTATTGCACCCTGCAACCCCCTCGCCAGCAACTGACGACTACCATAGTCTGGGTACCTCCCAGCAGCAGCAGCAGCAGCGGTCCCCACAAGAACTGTGCGTGAATGGTGGTGTTAGTGCAGAGGTATTGCATTGCATTGCTGCGGTGCTGTGGAATACCCCACATGACACCACAAGCCTCATAACGGATGAATTGTTCAGGTACGATCTGATTTTTCTTGAATTTTCAGCACATGCACTAAATCACGAATCTTTCACAAAAATTACCTTTTTTGGAACATTTTGGATGATACAAGTTGCATTTGTTTTTAGATTTTTTCTATATACTGGCATTGGGTTGTTGGGAAAGTGATATGTAAGCCCCAGCTCATATTCCATGTCTTCCATGAAATCAGATTTTGATGATTTTACCTTCATGATTTAGGCGTGTCTACGAGTGGTCAGAGAGAGTTGAAGGTGAAGTGAAGATAGGGCTGGATCACATAATGTGCTCCATGTGCCATGTGCGGCCACAGCTCTTCACTCAGCTACTGCTCAACATGGCAGTGCTGACTGTGATTGACAATAACCAGTCAATAACTGATGACAGGTAGGTGTTATCTTTCTCTTGTTTTCTTTTTCCTTTTTATAATTTTTTCTTTAGTGTTCGTGTTCCACTATCTTTTTCTTTTGTAAAAGTATACATGAATTTTCTGTGCTTATGAATATCTTAACATTTATTATTGCTCATCTGGCAGTGGGAAGTGAGATTAAGAATTTTTCGTAAAACTTTTCTTGCTTATGGCATTGATCTAGGTACTATGAACTACATATTAAGCACAGAGTCAGCAGGATACTAAAACACACTTTTACTCCACATGCAGAAAAGACAGAGAAGCAGAGATTCGGGCTGCCAGGACAGACGACATGAAGGAAGGGGTGGAGGGCTCCTCAGGGGCGGTAGAAGGTCGTCTCATCCTCCAGGACCCCAGCGTTATCTCCCTCACACCAGCACACCTGCAGACCCTGGCCACAGTTGCTCAGTCTCCCCAGGCAATACACCTGATGCTGGATTCTGGATTCCCGTTGCTGCTTGTTCATGGTATTTTAGGTTAGTATAGCAAAGGATTTCGTTAACTTTTTTGCTCATGGATTTTTGTCTCTTTTCAGGTATTCTGTTTTAATTTTTCAGAACAACTATGCAGGATACACTTTTTACTTTATTGAAAGGTAAAGAAATTCTAAATACAAATTGCTTCTTGTTGTAGAATGGTGCAAGACCGAAGTATTGCACCAGGTAGAGAGCTGCACATCCTCAAGTGCTGGGGAAAGTGCAACTGACTTGGAGAAAGCAAGTGTAGCCGAGAAATCGCGCAATGCGGAAGACACCCTCTCCTCTGCCACCCCTCAGGCCCCCCCACAAATCAGGGCTGCTATTGTCCCTACACTGAGCACATCTTTGGTGGCACACACTCTGCACACCCTAGCTGCACTGTGCGCTGAGCCTCCAATGAAGGACTGGCTAGGATCTGCTGAGGGATCTGTGTTCTGGTTACCACTGTTGACTGTTCTTGGTAGGTTGTGGGGAGGTATTTAGTTGTTTACTATATCTTTAACCTTTGTGACAGGGAATATTCACTAATTGTATATATATATATTTGTTGTTGTTGTTGTGATTTCCTGGATTTTTAGAATGTGAGGTAAAAATCAAATAGCTTTGAGAAAATTGGTGGAACAACAGGTCAAATTTACCTCCACAGGTGACCCACTGGTACGAGGCAGTGAGCCATTGATGCGGGGTTCTGGTCCCTCTGGTGGAAGTGACAGTGACTATAGCAGCGTGGAAGATGCAACCATCCATCTGATGAGGCAGTGTTGCCACAACCACCCTCACAACCAAAACCTTCTCGCATCGACTCTGTGCCATCTTATCCAACGGCAGAACATCCCCCCTCCAGGTGAAAGATGTTGAATTTCTCAATATTTAGCTCTCTTTTTTTTCTTTCTTTCTTCTTTTCGTCCTTTCTTTACTAACAAGTAAATTTGATTTGATTTTTTTTTTTTTATAGACTGTGCTGAATAGATGAAATTTCTTAGCAGGTAGTAAATAGTATTCGTAAGACTGGAAGTTAATTGTAGATTTTATGAGAAACTCAGTTGACAAGATAATTTTGTAGGATATTCACTCTTCAAAACATGAAGATTAAAAACAAGATCAATAATGAGATGCAAGTCATAATGAGGAAAATCCTGTGAAAGATCAGTCAGATTAGCAGTGACCAGTATTTACATCTTGTTTGAGAGTGACTGAAATATTTTTTTAATGATTATGCAAAATAAACAGGATCTTTGATATTTTGATAGGCCAGGGTTCCTGCATGACCTTCATAGTTGGCAGTTGCACTTATTGCTGATAAAATTGATGTTTGTTATTGCTTCTCACACTCTTTCTCTCCGTAGGTGGAGTAAGCTACCTGCACTCTCTCTCTGGGTTCACACGTCGCCTAGTCCTTCAACTCCTCTTGGAGACGGAGCGTGTGGTGGTACACATCAACAGCCCCCAGGGAGGCCTTTCTTCGCCCACGGGATGCAGCCTCCCCCTCCTCACGCAGCACCCCAAGTTCGGAGCAGGACACAAGACGAGGCTCCTCAACCTCCCGACCACCACAACCATGTCGGATATTGTCAAGATGGTCACAGGTTTGTAAAGTTTTTTTTTTTCTCTTCTCTCTCTCTCTTTTCTTTCTTTTTTTTCTTTCTTTCTTTCTTCTTTCTCTTCTTTTCTCTTCTCTTTCTTCTTTCTCTCTCTCTCGTTCTCTCTCTCTTCTCTCTCTCTCTCTCTCTCTCTCTCTCTCTCTCTCTCTCTCTCTCTCTCTCTCTCTCTCTCTCTCTCTCTCTCTCTCTCTCTCTCTCTCTCTCTCTTCTCTCTCTTCTCTCTTCTCTCTTCTCTCTCTCTCCTCTCTCTCTCTCTCTCTCTCTCTCTCTCTCTCTCTCTCTCTCTCTCTTCTCTCTCTTTCTCTCTCTTTCTCTCTCTCTCTCTCTCTCTCTCTCTCTCTCTCTCTCTCTCTCTCTCTCTCTCTCTCTCTCTCTCTCTCTCTCTCTCTCTCTCTCTCTCTCTCTCTCTCTCTCTCTCTCCTCTCTCTCTCTCTTTCTCTCTTTCTCTCTTCTCTCTCTCTCTCTCTCTTTCTCTCTTTTTCTCTCTTTCTCTTTTTTCTCTCTTCTCTCTTTTTCTCTCTCTCTTTCTGTGGAAACTAAGATTTTTTTTGGTTATTATTATTATTTAATGTAATTTTGGCTTTTGGATAGCCTTATTCAGTAAACATTACCATTGCATTCATTGTAATGTATATTTTTTATATTTGGTATCATAGGCAGGGCACGCACACTCTTGTGCGGTGACAAGACTCTATGCCTGCCCTTTGCAAGGTTATTTTGCATAAGTGGTTTTAGCTTTTTTGCCCTTTCCAGTTCCCATATTGGTCAATTGATTTGCTTTATCCAGATGATAATAGACTGTTTTCCTTGCATAGCCTTTACATTGATCTCTCTTTGAAGTAAATGCCTCAGTGCAAAATAGAAACAACATTGTTATTTGTCTTTTTTTTTTATTATATTCAATTCTCTATAATACAACATGCGCTGCTAGTCACAGTGGCCAGGATTAGGATACTGAGCATGGAAACAGCATTCTCCTCAGGAGCCGGCGAGCCTCCAGTCATGGCTGACCTACACTTGTTTATTGGGAATAATAAAAAAGCCCCTTTCTAAGTGCCAAACGAGACTAATCACCCACCAAGAGATTTGTGCACTTTTAACAAGTCTTTTCCATCACCCTGGCCTTCGCTCATGCTGGCAAGTTCATGTCACCCACCCCTCAAGCCAAAATTTTTCCTGACACGATGGTCAAGTCATCCAGAACAAAGGGTTTTGTTACCTTTCATTATAACTTCACTTTTGACATGAACAAAATGTAAAGAAAGGGAAAAAGAAAATGATACACATTTAGAACACTGCCTACATTATCAAACCTAGCTTAATACCTTTCAGATATGATAGTCTGTACTATATGCTTTATGAATTATATATTCATGAACAAATAGATATATCAATAACTCATCTTATTTTTATCAGTTTGAAATATTCTCCACACTCCTCTTACAATAAGAGACTTAGTGCACCAACTCAAACTGAAATCCTTCTTCAGACTGGTCAAGAGGTGTGCTGAGCAACTCAGGAGACCTGGAGTTAGGCAGCAGCGGAGACAGAAGGGACGCGAATGAGGTGGGCCACCTGGAGTTAGTGGACAAGCTCTCTGTCGCAGCAGGAGTCACAGCCAAGGACAAGAGGGAGAAGAACAAGGTCAATTCGAGTATTCACAGCAGGATGTCCAAGAGAGGTCAGTCTTTGTGTATACATTTTTGGGCCATTGCGTGTTTTGGATTTGGATTTCTATAGAAAGGATACAGTCTTTGTAGATGTGTTAGAGTGCCAGATGTATAGGATTTCTTTAGTAGTATTTTGATTTTGAATTAGTAAAAGCCCAAAGTTTAAAGTGAAAAGCAAGAATGTTAATGTATGTAATAGACAGGACTCTTTGATCTTTATTATACAGAATTGTTAAATGTTACAGCCACAGAGCAGGACAGCCAGTCTAGCAAGCCTGTGACAGCAACATCGAGTGCCTCATCATACGTCTTAGTGCATGAGAGCCTGGGCAGTTCCTCAGGACTACCTTCCACACTCACAGTGGCTCAGGTCATGGCCGCTCTGCGTCATGAGGGCCACCCGCCTTCCTCACACATCACCCTCACTTTAACTAATAGAAGGGACCATGCCAGAGGTAGGAAGTTAATCCGAATTTTGTTCTATTATTGGTCTTCAGTCTTTAAAAACAAAAGTGATGCACTTACTGGTAGCAATGAGGATTTTATACTGGCTCAAATAAAAGCCTACAAATCAAGTCTTTCCGCCAGAAGGTGAAAGTGGACGAGAGGCCTTGCTGCTCTGTACGGAACCGCTACCATCCACCCTGCATGTGTTCACGAGTCAGGGCGGCCTCTCGCTCCTGGCCCAACACATGTCGCTTCTTTACCCAGACACAGGACAGCAGGTCAGTCAGTCTGTTTGTTTGTTTTGCATTTAGTCTGATATTCATGTTACTACAAGTTCTCTCTCTCTTGTTACTTGGCTTTAGTTTCTACCTTTAGAATTGAGAGAGTTGAAAGAGGAAAGCAAGGGAAGTTAAGAATGACTTTTTTAAAATGTCATTCTTGTTTTTATAGTTATCAAACATATCTCAGTTATTTTTAACCAGTGATTATGATTATCTTCAAGGCTGATCCCTTTTAGATGATTTTGTTACAGCAAAGGAATATAATTATCATAATTTTCTACTATCATCACTATTATTGTTGATTATGAAATGTATGAAAAATTATTCAGTAGGTTACATGTGTAATCTATGCAGGCCTGCTGTTCTGAAGAAGAACCCAAGGCACATTCTATTAGGGTAATGAAGTGTTTTAGAGATTACCTGTATTTTGATAGCCTTGTGTCGATAGGTGTTTGATGCATAAGGCAAAGTTACCTAATATTTGGAGGATAATTTAAAAACTTCAGCTGAAATATTATACCTTTTCCTCCTCCCCCACCTTTTCATCTCACTCTTCTCTCTCTCCTCTCTCTTTCTCCTCCTCCTCCTCCTTCTCTCCTTCTCCTCTCCTCCTCCTCTCTCTTCTCCCCTCCTCTTCTCCTCCTCCTCTTCTTCTCCCCTTCCTCTTCTCCTCCTCCTCCTCCTCCTCCTCAGTTTCTCCCCTTCCTCTTCTCTTCCTCCTCCTCCTCTTCTTCTCCCCTTCCTCTTCTCCTCCTCCTCCTCTTCTCCCCTTCCTCTTCTCCTCCATTCCTCCCCCTTACTCTCTTCCATCATCTCCTCCCACTTATCCCCCTTCCTCTACTTCTTCTCCTCGTCCTCCTCCTCCTCCTCCTCCTCCTCCTCCTCCTCCTCTCCTCCTCCTCCTCCTCTCCTTCCTCTCCTCCTCCTCCTCCTCCTCTCCTCTACTCTCCTCCTCCTCCTCCTCCTCCTCCTCCCTCCTCCTCCTCCTCCTCTCCCCTTTCTTCTCCTCCTCCTCTCCTCCTCCTCTACCCCTTCCTCTCCTCCTCCTTCTACTCCTCCTCTCTTCTCCTCCTCCTCCTCCTCTTCCCATCTTCCTCCATATCCTCCTCCCCCCCCTCCTCCCCCTACTCTACCTCTTACTCTCTTCATTGCTTCTCTTTCTTCTCTTCTCTTCTCCCCTCTCTCCTCACGTCACACGTCACACTTCCCTCCTCCCTCAGTTCTCTTCCTCTCCCGTCTCTTCCCTCCTTTCCTATTCATGGAGTTATTTCTTTTATTTTGAAATTCATACAGCAGAGTTTCAAAGTTCTAACCCCAAACCATTCATTTTCTTTCCTTGCAATATTTGCAGCAGCCCAACAACACTGCATCAGTGCGAAGTGGCAACGGCGACAAGGGCGAGATTGTAGTGGAGAACGACTGGGTCAGTGTGGAGATGAATGACTATGAGGTGAACTAGTAGCTTCTATTCGCCCTCGCACAGCTAATTCTTTCAGTACTTTTCGTTTTGTTGTGCCGATGAGTCGTCAGTGGATTTCCTTGTTCCCTTCTCCCCCCCGATATATAACTTTCCGAGGGACTCCACCTTGTCCAAATATGGTTCTTGGGAATTCTCTTAGGGGATGGAATAGGGAAGGTTTTGTGTCTCTGATACCTTGTTAACTGGCACTAATGGGATTATGATACCCATTTTAGTTTGTCTTCTAAATTACTCGAGTAGGGTGAAATTAGTATGAGGGAATGATTAGCTTTTGTATTTCCTGCCATCCTTTTACATGTTTTCATTTGAAAGAAGAGAGTGTTTGAGTAAATACAGTTCATAAAAGTTGCTGCAGTGTCCCTTCACAGGTAGCCAACAAGTACTGTAAAGGTTTAGTTTTGCTAGATGTATACTTATCCTCTGAATATATGGAAAAACACCAAGCCGCTAAGCATGACATCCACAGGCATTAATTTCAATACATTATGTCTCTGCAATGCTTCCACAGTCTGCAAACGTGTTTGATTACCTGGTGATGGGAGGAGGGAGTGGGGGCTCCCCAGGGCCCATGGGAGGGGGCACAGTCAGCCTGTTAACGCTGCCCTCCATCCCACCCCATGCACTCGGGGCCTTCACCCTTTTCCTGCGGCTCCCAGGCTATGCAGAGACGCTCCTCAAGGACACCCATAAGGCTTGCTGTCTGCTCAGACTTGCCTTGGGGGTCACAGATGATGGGGATGGAGGTTGGTGATAGTATTTGGAGTTTATTGTTATATGTTTGGAATTTTTTTTTTTTATTATTATTACTATTATCATTATTATTGAATGGAAAAGCACTCTACCATGTTGATACAATGGTAGAAAAAAACCACAATGCACAAACTAGATTTATTGAATCGTCCTCAATTCCACCTCAGATCCGAAGATGGAATCAAGGACGATTCTGAAACAGTTGTCTCACTTTCTTCAATAAATCCAGTTTGTGCATTGTGGGGTTTTACTACCATCATTATTATTATTATTTGTTTTTCAGTTAAAGCAATACCAGAAAAAACATGAATTGATCATGGTTGTTTCTACTCTACCCTCTCAGGAGACATCGTAGGCTCAGGAGTGGGTGGTTCCTTGGCAACAATGCCCTTCCAGGTGCTGGAGTCCCTGCTTGAGGCCACACCTCTTACAACCGATGACGGGCTCCTCCTGAGACGCATGTGCCTGGAGTCAGGAGCTCTGCATCTGATTCTGGCCTGCCTTGCCGCGCTGTCTCACCAGGACACCCCTGAAGTGGTATCTTCCCTATACCACCAGGTACTATGATGGGTTTGTGGTAGCTGATACCATGCACATTTTTTTTTAATGTTAGGTATCAAATAGAAATTGAATTCCTAATTATGTGTTCATTATTTCTCATTTTTCTTGTATTTAATAAAATATTTGACTCTAGTTCCTCCCTGTTCTCTAATCTGAAAAACACCTCCACAGAATGTTCCAATTGGCTTGGTGGTGGCGACAACCAGAGCCACCTGCGTTGACTCCCGTGAGACCATTGGCATGCCGTGGAGAGGGAGACCGATGCCATTACTGGGCCAAGGGCACAGGCTTTGGCACAGGCAGCACCACACAGAGCTGGGATGTGGAACAGGCTCTTGTGAGGCAGAAAGTGGAGGAGGAACATGTGGTTTGGCTTGTGAGACTGCTAGCCCAGTACATCAATCCAGGTGTGTTTGCAAGAGCTGTGTTTAAAGAGAAGTCTAGCTCAGGGAGGTGGGAATGCTTTTGAGAGAATTATTGTATGCCATCTCCATTATGGTTAAGTTTGTGACTTTTAAGATCCAGAGGAAAAGGTTAAGTTTGTTCAGTATGACTCACATAAGGGCACTAGAGAGATGCGATGGGTCTCAGAGATCAGCTTCTCATTAGAAATTTGTTTTCCCAATCAGGTGACATCTTGCCACCTGAGCTGCAGCAACAGTCCAATGGTGGGACAGCAGGAGGCGGTGCAGCTGAAAGTCAAAGTGACAGCACCCCTCTCCTACCCCCTCTGTCACCCCCGTCTCATGCCCCTCCACCCTTGCCACCTGCCCTCCTACACCTTTTCCAGAATTCAGGCTTGATCACTACCATAGCCTCCAACCTCAGCAATGACTCGGGTAAGTTCGTGCAGTGGTAGAGTGAGGATAATGTCTTTTTATCTTCAAGTAGTGAATGGCTATTTCTGTAATGCATCTGTACTATTTGTCTTACATATTATTGATTTTTGTTTTCTCTGCTCCCCCAAAGTATTGGACATGTCCCGGCACGTCCCTCTTTACCGTGCATTACTGGCCCTTGTGAGAGGCCTCTCTGTCACCCCTGGCCTGGCGCCCCTGCTGCTGACACCCCAGAATTCAGCTCCGACGAATGGAGGAGGCGGAGACACCACCACTCTACCTTGTGTGCCAGCGTTGTTGGAGAAGATGAAAACAACTGTTAACACATACATGGCCAAGCTGCGATGGAAGTCCTCCAAGGCTGGCGGCAACAGCAATGGAAATGGTGGCAATGGTAACAACAATGGTGGGAACAACAACAATTCCGGCAGTCTAACAGATGATGCTGAACAATTCCG